AGGTTTCAGAGTCTGATAAGAACCTCAAATTCCCACACTCTAATCAGAGAAAAATACTGTCTCTGCCTAATCTGGCTTTTATGCTGTATCTGTAAAACATAAAGTGATCCAGCAATTTTATGCTCAATTTAGTCAGTGTAAACAATAAAAAGTGCACAATTCAAGTTTCAAAATAAAATATGATATAGCCAATTGGGGTGTCTACATTGACCAAATTAACTAGATTATTGCTAAGTCATTTCCCTTTGTTATTTGTGGGTATTTGCCTTAGCATGGGAATTTATGGGATGCTCTTGTTGCCATAAGAGATAACAAACATTTAATTACTCTAGTGGTCAAAATTTGAATGTAAACTCCCCAAAAAACCCAACTTGTAAACTGGCCTGATGCCCATGTCAAATACTCCCCTACACAGCCTCCTAACATGAGTGCACATGGCCCACCCCTCTGTTGCCTTGTGGCTGATGCCCCATGCTCCTGGGTCATAGGGCTGTGAGTAAGAGAAAAGAGCTTGTCTAACACAAGCCACCATCTCCATAAATAACTCAAATTCATCTTCACAAACTGTAGGGCTTCTCAGAAGAGTACAGAACAAAATCAACAATAGCAATTTTGAATAGGATCTTCAATAGTAAGACTATACATAACAATAGAGATATAGCGTTTACCAAGATCAAATATTTTTAAGAACATTTGGTTAGGCAAACTAGGATGTGGTGTGGGTGGCTGCTGTTGCTTCTTTGGGTAGATCAGTTATACCCTATCTTCCTGGGAATGAGTATGGAGCAGTAGTCTTCCCTATTCTGCATTAATCAAATCACCTTTTCTGGAGGGAAAGATGAAACTTCTGCTGGTAGCTACATAAAGAGCCACTATCATGGACTGTCTACATTGCTAATCATTTGAGTGGAGAGTGGGTCTAATTGGAGAACCCTAAACATTTCTATACAGCAATGGAGGTTCAGTTGCTAGATCCCCAATCTTTTCAACAGAAACCAGAAATTCAAACTTTTGTTGTAAAGTCTCCTGATTTATTTTAACATCAAGAGACCAAACAAAACAGGTCTGTTCTTAGTTTGGCCCATTGACCACTGGTTTAACATGTCTTATATATACAGGGATTTTCGTTCACTTTATTATTAATGCACTGAATATATATTTTTCTGACCAATTCTTACATATTTATGATTATCTTTATATTAGGTTGATTCTATACAATTTTCTTGAGTCAACAGGCTATAGTCCCACTATGTGTTAATTAAAAAGGATCCAACTATGAATAGGCTACCATTTCTGATATCAGAGAGATACGGTCTAGCAGTAGAGAAAAGTGAGGAGATAAATGGGGTATGTTGTAATAGAGGAGTGTATTCAGAATAAATAGGAGTGAATTTAGGAGGTTAATGATGGCAGATGAGGTTGGAAAGACCAGCTAGCCAAGGCCTTGCATACCATGATGATGTGGATACCAGCAGCTACTGTTTACTGAACACATAAAATACACCAAACCCTGTGCTTGCACTGTACATGCATGACGCAATTTAATTCTCACACCAACCCTTATGAGGAAGGGACTATTACTATCTCCATTTTATAGATGAGGAAACTGAAGCTTAGAAAGGTCAAGGAAACCTTCAAGGACATGGCTGTGTGTGGCAGAGTCAGAATCTGGGCTCACAACATCTGTCTGACTCCAAAACCTGTGCTTTCAGCCACTATGATATTGCTAAGGAATTTGGATTTCAGCCTATTAGTAATGGAAAACAAATGAAGAATCTTAGACCCACATTATTCTATTCTATTCTTACAACATTCTGTGAGTTAAATAATGGAAAGTATGATTACAGTTTTATATCTGGAGAAATCAAGAAAGGTTAAGCAATTTAAAGAAAGCAAGGGAAACAATGGGCTCCTAGCACCCAAATGGCTCAATTTCTAGCCCAGGACTCATGATAATTTTACATGGTTGGCAAATATTACTTTCCAAACATCTGATATGCTTTCAACAATCATGCTTCTTCAAATTCAGAAATTCCAAGAGCACATTCCCAATTAAATCCTCTTCCCAGCAGAACCTTAGCTATTTCTAGCCAAGTCGTTCCTAATTTGTGACGTCAATCTGAGAAATACAAAATAACTACCGTGACAAAGAAGGACAGCAGTCACCAACTTCTTCCCCCTCACCAACTGTGCATACAGGAACCACAAATCCCATTTGAATATCAATAATGAAACAATAGTGTACTAAGAATTTTCTTTTGTGTACTAGTAACTCATCAATAACATTCCTTTCTTGACTTATAATTACTGTAAAGCATTTAAGCATTCAACTTTCCAAGTTATAGCCACAACATTTTATTCATATTTGTGAAAGTTTGTCCCCATCAAGTTTCTCTGCAACAAAAATTTAATACCACTTCTATTGTTCAGATCAAGGTTAATAATTAGAAGGAGATGGGCCGGCCCCGTGGCTTAGCGGTTAAGTGCGCGCGCTCTGCTGGTGGAGCCCCGGGTTCGGATCCCCGGCGCGCACTGAGGCACTGCTTCTCCGGCCATGCTGAGGCCGCGTCCCACATACAGCAACTAGAAGGATGTGCAACTGTGACATACAACTATCTACTGGGGTTTTGGGGGGGAAAATAAATAAATAAATAAAATTATAAAATAAAAAAAAAATAATAGTTAGAAGGAGATTACTTATTTATAACAGTGATACAACATGGCTGGACCTAGAATATGATCAAGACATTTCTCTGCTCACAGAGGAAAATAGTTACATAAAAGGACCTATATTCTGGTCACTTTTGTTCCCCAAATATTTCACACGCTGGAGAGTGTAATCTTAATGCTTTCCAGAATGAAAAAAATACAGTAACTTTCTCCATAAAAGATAACAACAGCAACCACTTGTTGAGCACTTATTAATGTGTTACAAAGATCCTTTGAGGAAGATATAACATGCCAACTTTCTCAGAGAAAGAAACTGAGGCTCAGAAAGGTAGAAGTTTTCCAAGGTCAAACAGGTGGAAGTAAGTGGAAATCTAGGAATTGAACCTAGAAAAATCTGATTCCTAAGTCCATATGCTTGACCACTAAGAAGTCTTAGGCATTAGAGAAAGAAATAAAGGAAGAATGGAAGAAATAAAGAAGCTCAAGGTTTATCTGAGACCTTATGTATGCCGATCTTGGGAAACAAGCATAAAATGTATATGTGGCAAGAGAGAACAAAATATAAGGACAAATTATAGAATGAGGATAATATTTTCAAAATCTATGACAAACAGCAAAATAGGAACAGAAGGGAACTTCCTCAGATTAATAAAGAATATCTACAAAAGACCTGCAACTAACATCATACTTACTGGGAAGAAAATGGATGTTTTCTCCCTTAGATCCAGAAAAAGACAAGGACGGCCCCTCTCACCACTCCTATTGATCATTGTACTAGAAGTCCTATTAGTGAAATAAGACAAGAAGAGGAAATAAAATGGAAACAGATTGGAAAGGAGGAAATAAAATTGTATTATTTGCAGATGGCATGATCCCCTATGTAAAAAAATCCCAAAAAATCAATAGCAACAACAAAAAGCCACTGGAACTAATAAGTGAGTATAGCAAGGTCACAGGATATTAGGTTAATATATAAAAATCAATTGCTTTCCTATACATCAGTAATGAACAATTGGAATTTGAAATTTAAAAAACAATACCATTTACAATAGCACCAAGAAATAAAATACATATGTATATGTACAAAATCTATATGTAGAAAACTACAAAAATTCTGATGAAAGAAATTTTTAAAAATACAAGTAAATGGAGAAACATTCTGTGTTCATGGATGAAACATTCAACATTGTCAAGATGTCAATTCGTCCCAACTTAGTCTTTAATGGCTTTAATGCAATCTCAGTCAAACTCTTAGCAAGCTATTTCATAGATTCTAAATTGAATCTATGAGTCTTCTAAAAACTGATTCCAAACTGTATATGGAAAGGCAAAAGACCTAGAATTGCCAATACAATACTAAAGAAGAACAAAGTTGGAGGACTCATACTGCCCAATTTCAAGCCTTAATATAAAGCTACAGTAATCAAGACAGTGTGGTATTGGCAAAATAATAGACAATGGGTCAGAATAGAGAGTGCAGAAATAGGCCCACACAAATACAATCATCTAATCTTTGATGAACAAGCAAAGGCAATTCAGTGAAAAAAAGGATAGTCTTTTCAACAAACGGTGCTGGAACAATTTGATGTCCATATACAAAAAAAAATTAAAAAACACCCTAGATATAGACCTTACACCTTTAACAATAGTTAACTCAAAATGAATCACAGACCTAAATGCAAAATGCAAAACTATAAAACTTCTAAAAGAAAACTTAGGAGAATATCTGTGTTCTTGGGTGTGATGATGAATTTTACTAACACCAAAAGCACAATATATGAAAGAAGAAATTTATAAGTTGGACTTTATTAAAATTTAAAAGTTCTGCTCTGCAAAGGACACTGTTAAGAGAATGAAAAGACAAGCCACAGACTGGGAGAAAATACTTGCAAAATATGTATTTGATAAAGGACTGATACCCAAAATATACAAAAAAAAACTTAAAAATCATCAATAGGAGAAAACAAACAACCCAACTAAAAAAAAAATGGCAAAAGATTTATTTGAACAGACATCTCACCAAAGAAGGCAAAAAAAATACATGAAAAGCTGCTCAACATTATTTATCATTAGGGAATTACAAATTAAAACAAAAAAGAGATACCTCTACATACCTATCAAAATGGTTAAAATCCAAAAAACTTGGGCTGAGCATGAGGGGTGGCTCAGAAAATGGTGGAATCAGGCCTGAGGCTCTGCTGCACGGAGACCACTCTTCCCAGAAGAAGCCAGATCTCGTGGGATCTGGGGAGTTTTACTGGGCTAGCAGAGGAGTCCTGGGATGAGAAACATCTGGGTTCTTCCCTATCTCCACCCTGACCCCTGGCCACCCACTGATCTTTTTACTGTGTCCATAGTTTTGTCTTCTCCAGAATGTCCTATGTAGTTGGAATCATTCAGTAGGTAACCTTTTCAGATAGCTTATTTTAGTTAGTAATATGCACTTAAATCTCCCCGCATGTCTCATCATGGCTCCATAGCTCTTTTTTTTAATCACTGACTAACATTCCATTGCCCGGATATACCCCATTTTATGTATCATTTCGCCTATGGAAGGGCATGTTTGGGCAGTTATGAATAAAGCTGATGTTAACATAAAAAAAAATCAAAAAAACTGACAATACTATTTGCTGACAAGGATGCAAAGCAACAGGAACTCTCACTCATCGCTGTTGGTTACAGCCACTTTTTTGAAAGACACTTTGGCAGCTCCTTACAAAGCTAAACCTAGTTTTACGATCCAATAATTGCACTCCTAGGTATTTACCTAACTGAAAACTTACATTCACACAAAAACCTGCACATGAAAGTTTACAGCAGCTGTATTCATAATCACCAAAAACTGGAAGCAACCAAAAAATTCTCCAATAAGTGAGTGGATAAGTAAGCTATGATACAATCCATATAATGAAATACTATTCGTGATAAAAAAAGATTATCTATAAAACTATGAAAAGACATGTGCTAATCTTAAATACATATTGCTAAGGAAAAGAAATCAGTCTAAGAAGGCTATTTACTCTATCATTCCAATTGTATCACATTCAAGAAAATGAAAAACTGGTGAGATAGTAAAAAGATCAGTGGTTATGGAGGGAGAAAAGGTTGAATAAATGAAGCACAAGGGATATTTCTGGGTATTAAAACTATTCTAGATGCTAGTGTAATGGTAGATACATGACACTATGAATTTATCCAAACCCATAGCCTTTTACAGCACGAAGAGTGGACCTCAATGTATGCAAGTTTTAAAAACATAATTTAGGAAGTCAGGGGATGTCAGGATGGAATGCAGAATGTGGCAAAACAATCGAATTGTACTATAATTGTCTGAAACAACCTAACAGAAGGGAACGGGGGCAAAAGGTGCTAACCTAAATAACTGGAAATGAGTAGAATCCGTAAGGCTAAAAGCAAAAAAACTGGCGTAAGTACTGAACTCTTGCTAATCAAGTTGTCTCCTCCAGGGGTAAGTACAGGTTAACAATTCTGATACAAACATACATAATGGTACAATTAAGAAAATGAATGGCAGTTGGGGGGAGCCAGGTTTCTCATTGTTAGAGTGGAAGGTTACATATAAATAAGGGGAGGAGACGAGAATGATCCATGTGATAATGGATTAGAGTTGGAGACATCAGTGTGAACTTATTTTGGTGTAATATAGATAAAGATGGTTGTATATAGAAAAAATTATTCATATAAGTATACACACAAACATTTCCTTGCTCTGCCAGCTGATCCCTTAACAACAGCATAGTTAGTGCCAGATGTTATTTTCTAATATTATTGTCCAGTAAAAGGAACCAGGGTCCCCTGGAGAAGTGGCTGATTCTAGGACTACGGCAGGAAATATACAAGATAAGCCTGGAGCATCTTGTAGCACCAGTAAGGAAGTACTCAAACAAGAAGGCACAATGACAGGAGTAAGGAGTATGAATAAATAAATGGGGGAGGGAAATAAATTTCCCTTGCAGAAGAATTACAAATAATTTATGTAGCTACTGCACCCTCAAAAGAGGTGGAACATAACTCTTCACTCTTAAGTGTTCAGGCTACATGTAGTAACTTCCTTCCAGAGTACAGAAAGTATGGAAAATGGGGGTGGCAAGGGAAGAGTAACTTTACAGTGGAGAAACACACCACTACCTCAGCCAAGTGATTAGGGTGATCACCAACAACAATAAGTCATGTTGATGGAAGGTACCCTTGAGATGATGCAATGAAAATCACATTTTACCTCTGTGATCTTCCTCCCACATACCGATAACCCCATCTATCATGAGAAAAACAGACAAATCCCAACTGAGGGGCTTTCTACAAAATACCTGACCAGTACTCCTGAAAATTGTCACGGCCATCAAAAACTAGGAAAGTCTGAGAAACCTTCACATTACAGAGGAGCCTAAAGAGATATGATGATTAAATGTAACATGGTCTCCTAGATGATATCCTGGAACAGAAAAAGGACATTAGAGAAAATAACTAAAGCTATCTGAATAAAGTATGGGCTTTATTTAATAATGTATCAATACGGGGTCATTAATTATGACAAATGTGCCATACTAATGTAATATGTTAGTAATAGGGAAAACAGGGACAGAGAGGATGAGGGTAATACAGGAACTTTCTGTACTATCTTTGCAATTGTTCTGTAAATCTAAAACTGTTCTAAAATTAAAAGTTTATTTTAAAAAATACAAATACAAGATTACTAGTTCTAAAATACAAAGAACTACAAATTGAAAAGAAGAAAACAAACAACTCAAAATAAGAATGCGCAAAGGCTATGAACAGGATACTCAGGGGAGGAAATTCAAATGGCCATAAAACTTAAACAAACAAACCAAAAAAAGACATTGACCTTATCAGTGGACCAAGAGAAATAGAAATTAAAACATGATACTATTTTTTAACCATCAGTTTGGCCTAGGTTTAAAAGAGTAAAAACATCTGTGTTTACAAGGAGGCAGAAAAATGGAGGCTCTCCCACATTGCTGATGAAAGGGTGAATTGCTACAATCTTTTGAAAAGTAATGCAGCAATGTCTATTGCAATAACAAGCAGATATACCCCCTGACCTAGCAGTTGTACTTTGAGGAATCTATCCTATAGCAATGAAATCACCAGAATGAAAAGATATGTGCATAAGAGTTCTCACTGTAAAATTGCAAGGTTGTAAAACAATATTTTGAGTGGCAAAAAATTAGAAACAACCCTAATGTCCATCAACAGGGTAATGATTAAATAAATTATAGTATATCCATACTGTACAATATTATGCAGTTATTAAAAAGAGTACGATGTATATCTATTAACCTGGAGAGATGTTATGATGTAATTTTAAGCGGTAAAAGAAAATTACAGAATGATATGTATAGCGTGAAAGTATTTTTAAGACTCTCTGTATGTGCCTCTATGTTTAAATATTTTTGGAAGACTACACACCTGGCTGTTAACACCAGTTACCATAGGACAGTGGGATGCAGCTTTAGATTTAATCTCTTATTACTCCTCATATACACATATACTAAAGTAATAAAATAAAATAAAACCTCAAGCATGATTGTCATATGTTACATTTAGCTGTGAGGTGCTCAAAAAAAATGAATCCCAGACCTGCAGCAATGACTCACATGATCACTGTCTAGAAACAACATTGTAACAGTAAAATGAGGAGATATTCTCCATGGGACCAGAGTAACCTACTTTCTGCATCAAAAGAAAAAGCACCAAGTTGTTTATTTTTGTCATTGACCTACATGAGAGAAATGAGCCCAGTAAGTCTGTATTTGCCTCCATGTAGGTGCAATTGTTAACTTCACAGAAGTTGGGAAAAGAGTTCAAATTGACTGTTACAATTCAGAGAAACAGCATTTTCAAAAATAAAATAAAGTCCAGTGTATATAAGTATCAAATCATACATAAGAGAACTAAAAACAATAAATCAATTCAGGTGACATCAACAACCATGGCAATGTCTGAAACCAGAAGTCTAGACAGCAAGAGTTGCAGGGTATAATGAATAGACACAAACCCAACTGAGTAAATCTAGAAAAAAAAAAGCCAGAAAAGAGAAAAACTAGAAGAACATTTGGAAACTGCTGTTTCTTCTGCACTCAACACAGTCAAAGCTTCATTCAGCAACACAGATGAAAGATGGCATCTGAAGCTACTCAATTTAATCATTAAACATTTGGCTACAGTTATAATCATACACTGACACACAGTACTGTCAATAAATGTGCTCTGTAGGAAGGAGAGAGAGATAGAGGAAGGCAATTAGAAGTAAAGTAATTAAAGAGAATGATGAAAGTCTTCAATAGAGAAATAGCTAGCCTTAAATTTGAAAGACTATGAACATAAAAGGGAAGAACTTCTAGAGTTTCTGTGGACTGAAAGAACAAACAGAAATAAAACTACAGTTTTATAGCCAACCTGGTTAGCACTGATCTTGCAAATGGAAGGAAAAGATGTCCCAGTCAAGTAAATCACCAAAATGTGAGTTTTATGAGAAAGCTTGAAGCACACACACTGGCTTTAGAGTGAGTTTTGTAGAAAAGTGGACCAAAGATAACATACTACAAGGACAAGCCACAGAGGAGTCTACATACCAAACAAGGATATCAGTGTATTTCAGATTAAAGCTTCAGAAATAAGAAGACGGCCGGCACGTGTCAGGCCCCTGACACAGCAAAATTATAGTGATTTCTTTTGTAACCATGTCTGTCACATAAGGAGTATATCTTAACTCTGAAGGATCTCATGAAGGAACACAAAATGTTTTAAAAGTCTTACTTATGCTCAAGGCATTTGCTGCAGCAAAAAGAAGAAAGAATAAAAAAGAATAAGCTGTGACCAAAGAAAAGAAAAATTACCCTTTAGAGATTTGCAAATGTGTCTCTTCTGGTTCCAAGGACAGTTTTGGTTCTTGTCATAGACGTCTCAAAACACTCCGGGAAAAACATATTTTTCCTAGAAATTTTAAGTCTCCCTTAGGTAATTTTGAAAGAAGAGTGTGAGGAAGAGGCAGAATAATGGAAAGAGTGCTGGAACAGGAGTCAGGAACCTTGGGTTCTAGTCTTGGCTCTGCTTCTGACTTATTACGGGACCCCAGAGTATTCTGCAACATTCTCTGTAACATGAGAGAAGTGAAGTATCCCACTCCGATACTTCATGGACTATATCACTGAAAGGTGTTTTGTTTTGCTTTAAATGGAAACTTACTTGTGCTTACGGTTCTGACTTTGAGCCAGTTTCCCATATTTTGCTTCTAAAAATAAGGCTATAGTCAAATTTTAGCTAATTGTTTTTAAGTCACACTCTTGTAATATTTTAAATTCTCACCTGGAACTGCAATGGTTTAGGCCAGTGATTTAAAAACTTGTTTTGAGATAATGACTCATTGGTCAACAGGCTTGTTCCAAAGCAGGCTGATGTACAAAATAGAAAAGGAGAGTGCTTTGTTGAAGACAAGGGAGGAGGGGAGGATGAGAACTGAAGGGGAGGAAGAGTAGAGTTCTGCTCACTTCACTTCCCCATTGTGCTTTTCCAGGGGCCCCTGAAAACTGCCTGAAACCCCAAAAAAGTCAATCTTCTGTGACAGCTTATCACAAAGGAGTAACGTAGGCATACACATTTGGAAACAAGGCTTGAGGAACAAAACTTTAAACTGCTGTAAAACCTCTGCTTCTACAGTGGGGAAACTAACACATTTGGCCTTCACTTGGTGTGAATTAATCACAAACACAAATGCAAGTGAAGGCACTGAAAGGCTGCTACAGTCCTCTGTTATAAAGTGGGTTTCCAGGTGATCCAAAATATACTCATGTGATTTTTTCTAGAATACTATCAAAATGAAAATACAAACATAAAACCAAAATTGTATTAGAAGGATGCTAACTAGTATAGTTACTAGTTAGTATGTTAACTAGTATAGTTATTAGTATAGTTGTTAGAAGGATGAAAGAATAAAACTCATAGGTAAAGGTAAATATATAATTAAATTCAGAATACTCTAATATTGTAATGGTGGTGGGTAAATCACTTATAATTCTTGTATAAAGGTTAAAAGACAAAAGCATTAAAAATAATTATAACTACAATAATTTGTTAATGGATATACAATGTCAAAAGAGGTAAACTGTAACATCAAAAACAAAATGGGGGTAATTTAAAAAATGTAGAGTTTTCGTGTGCATTAGAAGTTCAGTTGTTATTAGCCTACGATAGACTGTTATAAGATGTTTTATATAAGCCTTATGATAACCACAAAGCAAAAACCTATAGTAGATACATAAAAGATAAAGAGAAAGGAATCAAAGCACACCACTACAAAAATCATCAAATCACAAATGAAGAGAATAAGAGAGGAAGAAAGGAACAAAGGAATTACAAAACAACCAGAAAATGATTAACAAAATGGCAATAGTAAGCCCATACCTAACAATAATTACCTTAAATGTAAATGGACTAAATTCTCCAATCAAAAGACATAGACTGGTTGAATGGATTTAAAAAAAAAAAAAAAAATAAGACCCAACAATTTGCTGTCTATAAGAGACTTACCTCAGCTTTAAGGATGCACATAGACTGAAAGTAAAGGGATGGAAAAAGGTATTTCATGCAAATGAAAAGCAAAAGAAAGCAGGGGTAGCTATATTTATATCAGACAAAATAGACTTTAAGCCAAAGACTGTAACTAGAGACAAAGAAGGTCATTATATAAGAATAAAGGGGTCAGTTCACCAAAAGGATATAACACTTGTATATATTTATGCACCCAACAGAGGGGCACCTAAATATATAAAGCAAATATTAACAGATCTGAAGGGAGGAACAGACAGTAGTGTAATAATAGAAGGGGACTTCAATACCCCACTTTAACATCAGATAGATCCTCCAGACAGAAAATCAATCAGGAAACAATGGATTTAAACTATATGTTAGACCAGATGGACATAACAGACATATAGAGAACATTTCATCCAACAGCAGCAGAATACGCATTCGTCTCAAGTGCACATGAAACATTCTCCAGGAAAGACCATATGTTAGGCCACATGGTTTTCTCTTTTTTTTTTTTTTGAGGAAGATCAGCCCTAAGCCAACATCCAATGCAATCCTCCTCTTTTTGCTGAAGAAGATTGGCCCTGGGCTAACATCCATGTGCATCTTCCTCTACTTTATGTGGGACTCTGCCACAGCATGGCTTGACAAGCTGTGTGCCCGTGCGTGCCCGGGATCCGAACCTGCGAACCCCAGGCCGCCGAAGTGGAGCATGTGCACCCAACTGCTGCGCCGCTGGGCTGGCCCCAAAACAAGTCTTAATAAATTTAAGAAGGCTGAAATCATATCAAGCATCTTTTCCAACCATGCTGGTATGAAACTGGTAAGAAATCAATCACAAGAAGAAAGCTGGAAAATTCACAAATATGTGGAGATTAAACAACATGCTACTGAAAAACCAAGG